GTGGATACCTCGCATGTATCGTAGTAGCAATAATTGAGGATCACATGTCACTTGAGTTATCACATGCAATGTTTGATTACTATATGTGGGAGTCGACTAGTAGCTCATGAACTAGCTAGACTTGGTCCTCGCCCCAAAAAATGCTAGTCTTATGGGTTACCTTCACAAATTGCATATACATGCTAACATATTCTACTTTTATTGCACTAGGGCTATTTCTCGCTTAGTGCAAGCCCTACACTAGTCTCACCTGAATGATTTTTCCCACATGTCATTACTGGGTCGCCCCGTTTCTTCTCTTCGTGGCAAGCGAACCAAAAGAGGCTTGCTCATTCACTCGTTGTAGTTGTTTCTGGGTTTTTCTTCTTGTTGTTGTATACTGGTTGGACATGACCAATTTTCACCGGCTTTTTACTCTTTCCTTTTTCTGTGTTTTTTTGCTGTTCATTGGGTTTATATTTTTTCTTTCCCCCTTTTGTGCCGTCTTTAAGGTTTTCTTTACCGTTTTCCATGTTTACTTTTTTCTTTCTTTTTCTGTGTGATTTTTTTTACGGTTTTCATTGGTTTCCTTTATTTTTCTTTCTTTCTTTTTCTGTGTTTTCTTTATGGTTCTCTTCATTTTATTTTTTGATTTCTTTTCTTTGTTTTTCAATGTGTTTTCGTTACGGTTTTCATTGGTTTTCTTCATTTAATTGATATTTTTATGTCTTTCTTACCTTTTTGTGTTTTTCTTTACGATTTTCTTTGATTTTTCTTTTTTCCCTTTTTTGTCTTTTTCTTTACATTTTCCTTTGGGTTTCTTTTTTTTTTGAAATTTTCTATTTAAATTCATGTCTACCACCTTGTACATTTTTTGCATAAAGACACTTTTGATATACATTTAAACTTTTTCAAATACATGATTAACATTTTTCATAAAGTATTCTTTGAAGTTTGCCCTTTTTCATATACATTGTATATTTTTTGTATACACAACAAAAATTGGTTTTATACATGTTTGTACACTTTATGTATACATATGAAACATGTGATATGCGTTTAATATTTTCCAAATATATGATTAACATTTATTTACAGACATGTTTTGATGTCTGCTTTTTTTCATACACATTGTATAATTTTCATATGTACCATATTTTTTATAATAGTTTAACATATTTTAAATGCATGCTTAAATTTTTTCAAACACATTAGTTGAACATTTTATTTAATATGCATTAATTGTTTTTCAAACACACATTGAAATTTTTTAAAACTAAGTGAACATTTTTTACAATTGTATGTTTTTTAAATATCATGAAAATATTTTTTAAACGAGTTAACATTTTGTAAATGTATATTTTTAAATTGTATTTGAATTACACGAATATTTTTTATGTTTTTGAAATGCGTGGACACTTTGTAAATTTCACAAACATTTTTTTGAAAGCTATCAACATTTGTCAAAACTTATGGTAACAAACAACTTGCACTGCTTTAACTTTTTTCAAATTCACGAGTTTTCAATTGTTATAAGTAAATTAAGTATTATAATATATATCTATTTAGAGTTTGTCGAAAAATATATACAAAAGAAAGAAAAGCCGAATAAACAAAGAAACATAAGTGTAAAAGGTATTAACTGGAAAGTTGGACCGGCAAATACTAGTGATTGAGAGGGCGCTCCTTTGGGAGAGATCTTGTGCAGTCTCACATGAAGCGCGTCCCTTTTATTGGCTCTAAAAACTAGAAAACCCTATTTGGCGCTCATTGCCACAAATTGTGGTCCAAACGCAGTGAGCGATCGAGCTCGGCCGACACATTTGACATATCCGCTGCTCTCAGTTTTGTAAACCTTTTCCTGTACGGTTTTGCCGGTTTTCAGAACCTTCTAGAAGGTTCTCTGAACCATTCTTTTCTTATTTTCTGTTATTATTTTTCCTATTCAAAATTTCCTGATTTTCTTTTTCCCGTTCTTTTTTTCATAATCCAAAAAAAGTGCCGTGGCTTTAGTTCAACTTTAGTTCATGAATTAGAAAAATTGTTCAGGTTTTGAACTTTTTCATAATTTCAAAAATTATTTGGGTTTGCGAAAATTATCCGTGTTTTTCATAAAATGTTCCCATCTTTAAAATTTTCCATTAATTCAAAAATATCACATTTTAAAAAAATGTTTACATTTTTAAAGAATTGTTTGCTTATTTAAATTTGTACATAAATTAGAAAACTATTTGCATCTTTGAACAAAATGAGGAAGTTCAAAAATGCTCGTCTTTTTCAAAAATGATTTGTTCTTCAATAAAATGTTTGATTTTTTAAAAAAATTTGTTCATATTTTCAAATCTTGTCCAAGTTTTTTAAAACGTGAACAATTTTTATTGAATATGTACTATGTAGGTTGTAGATTGTTGTCCCACATCACCGTTCGCCACCGTACAACCTGGCAAGTAGGGCTTCTTATCATGTGACGGTACATGCAGCCTGATGGAGTGACCTTGGGCTTTGCCAAATGGCACAAAACTAGCAATCACTAGTTAAGGGGTATCTCTTGCTAAGAATGAGTAAAACTGATTTAGTGGTGACAAGCTGCATTATGCATCTGTGTCATTTGTCATCACCAAGAAGTTTAAGTGGGTTTTCAATGGTCTAAGTGAATGGGAGGACTGTTAAATACTTTTTTTGTGAGATTGATTTTTAGAATGAAATATCTGTTAAACCGTGTGTTCAAATTACAGACTGTTTGCACCCTTGCATTCCTCGCGTCGAGATGTTCGGAATTAGATCCCATCGCATGTTGATATGTTTTGATGAATTTTTTTGTACAAAACTTGTACTTACAAATATAACAAACTTGTGCTCCACAAATAACACAGGTATAACTCTCCGAGACAACATACTTGTACTCCCTCACGGGTACTACTCCGATCGCATGTAATGCAACTTGTGCTTCATGCGAAACTATCACTCCCCATATGATCCTCACGTGATGGACCCTGTACTTCCTCAACGCTAGGCGCTGGCGCGCCGGCCCAAATTTGGGCCGGTCACACCCGGTACGTTCGATAAAATCCCTTTTAGTCGTCAGATTCAGGTCGCTTTCGTCCCCATCATACCGTTTCTACCCTGCAAATCATGCGAGCACGCATGGCAAGCGCCAGCGCCATGGACGAGCGACCTAACCCGCTGGATCTCCGCCGCTAGTCGGATCTCCATCGCTCCACGCCTCTCTCCGCAGCTCCAATTCGCCGGCGTAGCACATCCTCCTCATCTCCCGTTGTTCCAGCACCACTCCTCGCCGAATGCAGCTCATCCAAACATCGTTTCCAGCAACTCCCGTAGGCACCACCCATCATAGCACGACATCGCCGCCGTCGAACTGCACCATCTCGTTCCAACAAAAAACACATTTCAGCCCAAAAAGAACTCCGATGGGTAGTTGCAGCAAAACCAAAACTGGTTCCAGCAAAAAAGCAAAAGGTTTTCAGCAAAAAATGACTTGAGGAACTAGCAACCCAGTAAATTGCTTGAAGCAAAAAAGTTCCCTGATTCCAGTAAAAATTAACGCGATTCCAGCAGAAATGCGTCGCCGCCTCTTGATCGTAGCAAATAATCTCAACCAACAAAAAAACTTCGGAAGGTAGCAAATAATCTCAACCAACAAAAAACTTCAGAAGTTGCCCGTCGCAGCAAAATCATTTGCCGGTTCCAGCAAAAAAAAGACCCGGATCCAGCAAAAAATGACTTGGTTCCAGCAAAAAAGATGAATTGAGCTGAGCAGAAGCTGGAACCGGTGATTAAAAAGGAACATGGTTCCAACAAAAATGGCCTCTGCTTGTAACATCCCCACCCAGTGGTTCCAGCAAAAATCCAGCCGGAGGTCAAAGCTTTACCAACAAAAATCTCCAGTATTAGGTTGGAGCAGGAAAAATTACCGGTTCCAGCAAAATCGAACCACGGTAGCAATTTTTAGGCTTGTTCCAGCAAAATCAAGACAAGATGGTAGCAAGAATTAGGACCGGTTCCAGCAAAAAAAGAACATAGTTGCTGCAAAAATCTCCCCTGCTTGTA